GCCCACCAGGGGGCGCGCGCGGGCAGAAAAAAAATGTCGTCTGGAGACGGCAACCCGCCAATGCAGCAGTGCCGTCCGTCCGTTTTTTTACAACGGGCGGATGACAAGTGGTTAATGATATATAAAAAAAAATATGCATTTCTTTAATATTTGCATTGAAGCCTGAAAAGCATTGCAATTGTGATCACTCGATCGGGGCTGCAAAGCTCAGACTTCTGCACATCCTCTCCCAGGCAGAGCTCGTACTGAGGTAGTTTCAGTTAGGAGAGATGGGGAAGGACGGCTGGACTTCAAACTGCATTAAATCACCTCATATAGTGTCCAGCCGTCCTCGCTCTAGGTAGATGCGGGAATATGGGCAGCTCTACCTAGAGAGAGGACGGCTAGACGCTGCATGGGGTGATTTAATGCAGTTTGAAGTCCAGCCGTCCCTCCCTCATGTCTCCTAACTGAAACTACCTCAGTACGAGCTCTGCCTGGGAGAGAATGTGCAGAAGTCTGAGCTTTGCAGCTGTGATTGAGTGATTACAATTGCAATGCTTTCCAATAGGGATGCACCGATATATCGGCCGCCGAAACATATCGGCCGAAAATGTCACTTTTGGCATAATGCCGAAAGAGCCATGTTTCGGCCGATACATCGTCGCATCCCTGGTTTCTTTTCTCCCCGCTGGGCGCTGCTCTGTGTTCCAGCGGGGAGAAAAAGTGACAGCCGGCCGAGCGCTGCGGGACAAGAGTGCTGTGAGCGGCCGGCGTCTCCTCCCATACCGCTCTGCCGCCTATCACAGTCCGGCAGAGTGGTGTGGGGGCGGAAATAGCGCTGTCACAGGAGGCTGGACATTCCTCTCTACACCGCTCGATCAGCCTCCTGTGACAGCGTGTCAGAGAGAAAAGCAATGTACACACACTCAGTGATCAGTGATCGCTGAGTGTGTGTACATAATTGGGGATATTGTATGTTAACTATATTCTCAATTATGAATGAATGGGAGTGATCTACATCACCCCCATTCATTCATAATTGTAGTTATAGTAAACAAACAATGTTCTCATGTTATCAATAAACAGGAACACTCAGAGGATTCCTGTTCATTTACATTTCAGCCTTAAATAAAAAGAAATAAAATCCAAAAGTGAAATACAACAAAATTGCGCCAAAAGCTCTAAAAGGCATTCCAATTAATTTTCCAACGGCATTACCAATCAGGGTTCTGTGCACTATGCAGTTTGCTAAGTGATGTAGAGCATTTTATACTGTACACTGTCAGTGTGCCATGTACCAGGATAAGTGTGCAAAGTACAAGTGATTGCTTAGCGTGCGTATGGTATTTTGAGCACTTATATGCATTTCAGTAAAGCCCATCTGAACTTTTAGTTTAAATCAGCTTAAAGTGGACCTTTACACTCAAAAATCAAATTCTACCAATGCATCCTTCTATGTATGATGATTAATAATAACAGAGACATGCAGGTGTAAAATGCTGTGATTGTGAAATACTTACACTTGCAGAGCATTCACTTCCTGCTTTGACAGGGTAAAATGACTTCAGGTTGCCAAAGTAATGCACACTTGGATTGCCTTGTCATCAGCAGAGCATTGCTGGGAAATCTCATCTGTAATCTTAGGAGATCCCAGGGAAAGGCATTTTCTTCCCCTGAGATGATGTGCATGGTCGCATGTCCTAGTCACATGTGATAGAAATCCAGGAAGTAAAAGGAGATCTAGTAATCTGCAGTTAGTAAACATGGCCACTGTCAGAAAACTGGGGAAGAAAAGAGAAATAAGGAATGCAAAGAATACAAAGCCGGCAATTATCTAGAAGTATGTGTTTGTAGACTGGCATTACTAAACATTTCTAAAGGAGTGTTTGTTGTTATTTTAAAGATAAAGATATTTTAAAGTTACTTTAATACATTTTCAGGTGATGTGCATGTGGAAAGCTGGCCATACACTGGTTGAACTGGTACTGCTGATTTTGGCCAAAATTCGACCAGTGTGTGGCCCGTCAGAACCCCCTTATTCTACAAAAGTATGGTAGCTTTACATTTAATTTAAAAAAAGCAATCAGCCACACCCTATGCAAAAAAGGGGGCCTCACATTTGTGCTTCCAAATACTCAAATTAATGTTCATAGAGGCATTGTGGCATCTTCTGCTTTTGAAACTTAATACCTTCATACTTTTTATGTTTCCTTTGTCTTTTTTTTTTTGTATGCAGTACACTAAAGAGCAGGCTGGAGAGGCTACAAAGGTGGCCATCGATGTTGGCTATCGTCATATTGACTGTGCTTTTATCTATGGCAACGAAGTGGAAGTTGGCCGGGCTATCAACGCAAAGATTGCTGATGGGACGGTGAAGAGAGAGGACGTTTTCTATACCGGAAAGGTAACTGGACCTTTCTATAATAGTGTTATTATTAAGCCAAAACCTTCACTTTCAGCCACCAATGTGAACAGCCTATTAAATGTATATTCTACAACTAACTGTAAAGACACAAAAATAAACAAAAAAGCTTTACAGATTTAATATATTAGTGTATGTTTATCCTTGTGGCTCAAACAAAATACAAATAAAAATATAAAAATAAATCATTCATATAAACAGGGCTTGAAAAATTTGATGGTGTCTCACCAGTCAGTCAAAAATTTCACCAGTCAGCATGACAAATAAATAATTACATAAATACACTAAGTAATAGATTGTCCCTGCATGCAGTACTTCTCTCCTTGTTTTAATGTGACCTGCACTTTGGTAGAGTGTGCATTTAAAAATGTATGTAAGCTCTAAATCTTTTTTTTTTTCGGTACGTTTGGCATCATGTCTAAATATACAAATCAATTTTTGTAAATCTGTTGCAAAGTTTCGTACCTGGAGATCCTGACAGTAACAGCATGTGTGATGTGTGTGAGCACCAAGCTCAATTGAACTTTCAGTTTATATCAGCTAATACATTTCAGGTGCAACATATCAAAATATATGTAAAGTCTTAAGGTGCCCATACACCTTACGATTATCGGACGAAACTTTTCGTCCGATGATCGAACCGTCGTACGATTTTGGCAGCCCCATCCTGCCCCGATTATCGCAAGGTTCAATTAGCAGTAGTTAAAAAAAAACACCTGGACGACTTGCCGTAATTGACCGCAACTATTTTCGTTTGCACATGCGCAGTGACTTTTGACGGACGGAAACGCCACCAACCATGGGAACATCGTACGATCGACCAAGTTTTCAAACATGCTTGACCGTCAAAAGTCGTACGATTGTACAGTACTATCGGTCGGGCACTCTATTCACACGTTATGATTGTCGTAAAGGTGTATGGGCACCTTTACAGTTGTTGTTGTTATTTTTTTTTTATAGAGCAGCCGCAGCCTGAGGAGAAAAGCCTGTCCCCTGCCAGTGTGCTGTAGAGAATGACCTTTGCTCTCTATGTGGAAGCTGTGGTCTCTCTGCAGAGGTTTAACATCCAACGTATACTGTTGTTTCGCAATTAGCAACGCTCATGCTCCCTGCTGATTGGAGTGCTGTAGCTCTAACTCAGCAGAAGGTTTGTCAGACCTCTGCAGAGAGACCACTGCTTGCTCACATAGAGCGAAGGTCCTTCTATGCAGCATGCTGGCAGAGGACAGTCTTTGTTTGTGGCAGGTCTTTTCTACTACCTCAGATTACCTTTGCTGACAAAGTTCCTTTTTTTTTATTTTAAGCTTTGGTGTAATAATCAGGCCCCAGAAAGGGTTCGTACGGCTCTTGAGAACTCTCTAAAGGATCTTGGACTAGATTACATGGACCTGTTCCTGATCCACACTCCTGTGGAGTTTAAGGTATGTTCATACATCATCTCTATATAGACTTGTGTAACAATGATAAAACGATCTAGTCAGCCTCAGCCTCAATAGAAATTAGTATTCTTTGTTCTGTTTTAAAGTATGGGTTGACCAATATGGATTCTTCAGAACCGATACAGATTATGGGCCACCTTTCAGGCTAATAACCGATATCAGGTACCGATATTCTGTTTACATCCAGCTGCGACATGGGTCTGCATTCCTACTGTGGCCTTTGTGAGGAGCTCCTACCCTATCTGTTTTTATTTATTTTATATTATTGAGAATGTAATAGGAGTAGCTGGACCACACTCTAATCGATGGAGACAACCAAGGCTCCTAG